AAACATACACGTACAAACGCACTTACATAAATACACTTACATAATTGGTCGCATTTGGAGGTGATCGTTAAGCAGGGGTCCACTGTACTTCCCGTTTCCAGGACTCAAGTCCGGCTACATAAAAATAACTGGTTTCCCTGAATCCCTTCACTAAATATTACCCTGCTCACACTCCAACAGATCATCAGGTCCCAAATACCATTTGTCTCCATTCACTCCTATTGAACACGCTCAAGCACGCCAGCTGGAAGTCCAAGTCCCTCGTCCACAAAACCTCCCTTACCCCTTCCTTCCAACCTTTTCGAGGACAACCTCTACCCCGCCTTCCTTCCCCTACAGATTTAAATGCTCTCCATGTCATTCTACTTTGATCCATTCTCTCTAAATGACCAAACCACCTCAACAACCCCTCTTCAGCCCTCTGACTAATACTTTTATTAACTCCACACCTTCTCCTCATTTCCACACTCCGAATTTTCTGCATAATATTTACACCACACATTGCCCTTAGACAGGACATCTCCACTGCTTCCAACCGCCTCCTCACTGCTGCATTCACAACCCCAAGCTTCACACCCATATAAGAGTGTTGGTACTACTATACTTTCATACATTCCCTTCTTTGCCTCCACAGATAATGTTTTTTGTCTCCACATATACCTGAAAGCACCACTCACCTTTTTTCCCTCATCAATTCTATGATTAACCTCATCCTTCATAAATCCATCCGCCGACAAGTCAACTCCCAAGTATCTGAAAACATTCACTTCTTCCATACTCCTCCTCTCCAATTTGATATCCAATTTTTCTTTATCTAAATCATTTGATACCCTCATCACCTTACTCTTTTCTATGTTCACTTTCAACTTTGTACCTTAACGCACACTCCCAAACTCGTCCACTAACCTTTGCAATTTTTCTTTAGAATCTCCCATAAGCACAGTATCATCAGCAAAAAGCAACTGTCAATTTCACAAATCCAAAGAAATAATTGGAAATTTCAGATTTAAATGAGTCACAGGAATAGTAGCACATTATTTAGCCTAAGAATAGTAAATAATTAGAATGAGATGAACATTCACACAGTGGAAGCAAACTTCATACAGGGGATCAAAAATATACTGTACAGCAGGGCCCCGCTTTACGGCGTTTCACTTTACGGCGTTCCGCTAATACGGTCATTTCAAATTATGACCAAAACTCGCTATACAGCTCCCCCCACCTGACTTTCTAATACGGTCACCGCGCCCCACCTTGTTTGTTTACATTCTTCGTGAGCTCAGTAAGCACTAAGTCTCTCCATTTTGTCTGGAAACTCCAAAATTTCAAATGTTTTTAAAAGTTATTTTATATATACTCTGATAATTATACTTATGTATACCTGTACAGTGGACCCCCGCATACCGTACGCATCGCATACCGTTCAATCCGCATACCGCTCGCTTTTATCGCAAAAATTTTGCCTCGCATACCGCCCAAAAACCCGCTCACCGCTCTTCGTCCGAGATGCGTCCAATGTGCGCCCTTAGCCAGCCTCACATGTGCCGCCGGTGGCATTGTTTACCAGCCAGCCTCCGCGGTAACATCCAAGCATACAATCGGAACATTTCGTATTATTACAGTGTTTTTGGTGATTTTATGTGCAAAATAAGTGACCATGGGCCCCAAGAAAGCTTCTAGTGCCAACCCTACAGCAATAAGGGTGAGAATTACTATAGAGACGAAGAAAAAAGATCATTGATAAGTATGAAAGTGGAGTGCGTGTCTCCGAGCTGGCCAGGTTGTATAATAAACCCCAATCAACCATCGCTACTATTGGTGGTACAGCTGCTGCTGCTGCTGCTGCACTGTCAGCTGCTGCTGTAGCACCGTCAGCTGCTGCTGCTGCTGTACCACCGTCAGCTGCTGCTGCTGCTGTAGTACCGTCTGCTGCTGCTGTAGCAACGTCTGCTGCTGCTGTAGCATCGTCTGCTGCTGCTGTAGCACTGTCAGCTGCTGCTGCTGTTGTACCACCGTCAGCTGCTGCTGCTGCTGCTGTAGTACCGTCTGCTGCTGCTGTAGTACTGTCTGCTGCTGCTGTAGCATCGTCTGCTGCTGCTGTAGCACTGTCAGCTGCTGCTGCTGCTGCTGTAGCACCGTTGTTGGTGTGGCTTATTGAGAATACCAAGAAACAATTAACCCCAGAGGATTTGCCACCCAGGATAACCCAAAAAAGTCAGTGTCATCGAAGACTGTCTAACTTATTTCCATTGGGGTCCTTAATCTTGTCTCCCAGGATGCAACCCACACCAGTCGACTAACACCCAGGTGAACAGGGAAAAATGCCTGGAACTAGTGCTCATATTGGTGAATTTAAAGCCAGCAAAGGTTGGTTTGAGAGATTTAAGAATCGTAGTGGCATACACAGTGTGATAAGGCCTGTTCTGGAAGAAAATGCCAAACAGGACCTACAGTACTCAGGAGGAAAAGGCACTCCCAGGACACAGTGTCTCATCAGTCATTGCTGCATCTTCAATAAAGGTAAGTGTCATTTATTCTTCATTTAGTAGAGTAGTACATGCACAATATATATTGTGCATGTACTACTCTACTATTGTGCATGTATCCTTCTCTTTGTGTGTAGGAAAATGTATATTTCATGTGGTAAATTTTTTTTTTTCATACTTTTGGGTGTCTTGCACGGATTAATTTGATTTCCATTATTTCTTATGGGGAAAATTCATTCGCATACCCATCATTTCGCATAACAATCAGCCCTCTTGCACGGATTAAAGTCGCTATGCGGGGGGTCCACTGTACTTAAATAAACTTACATACTGTGCTGGCATGCAGGTACACATTAAAATCAGTAAGAGTGTCTTATGTCTCCAGACGTCATATTAGTAATGATAATAATAATCATCGAGTCTCATTTAAATGTCGTATATTACGTTAAATACACATTTTCATTAATCCATCTATGATATTTTTTCAAAATTATATAATAAACACGATACATAACATAAAAAGATGATAAATACACCCCACAATAGAATAAATAAACATAAATATGAGATGTGGTAGCAGACGACTTGCACAAGTGATGCCATATTAGAAATGCTAATAATAATAATAATAATCACCGAGTCTCGTTAAATGTTGTATATTACGTTAATATACACATTTTCATTAATCCATCCATGATATTTTTTTCAAAATTATATAATAAACACGATACATAACATAAAAAGATGATAAATACACCCCACAATAGAATAAATAAACATAAATATGAGATGTGGTAGCCAGATAACTTGTACAAGTGATGCCAAGAATAACATTTTCTCTAATCTAACATAAGAGAAAATGTGTTACTGGGGGTAACTGTAGAAAATTATTCCTTTCGTATGTATGTAAGTAAGTTTATTCAAGTATACACAAATACAGTTACATAGATTATCATACATAACATATGTGTAGAGAACCTAGGATAACCCAAAAAAGTCAAGAGTGACTTATTTCCATTGCCTTCACTCAGAGCATCATTTCTTCTCAAAATGATGTTACATGAGAATGGAAGTGTTCTTCTTTATTTATTCTACCGTATCAATGTAGAGACAACCTGTACACAATGTAACTTGTACACAAACCAGACGTGTACACTTTGTTTACAAAACTTACCTTCGCCTGGTTTGTTTACATAACTCTGCGCCTGTCCTCTCTCATGCACTCATTCTTTCTCTCTCTCATTTATTCGTTTTATCTCATTTACTTAGTCCTGACCCTACATTAAGACTACAAATATTTTAAGGTAAGTAATGAGTGAACTGTATATACATTTTATCGCTCTGGGATGCTTAAATGTAATAGAATATTATGTGTAGGTGGGTTGGCCTGGTATGGTAGCCCGGCTGACTACCATACATACCACACTTGATTTTTTACAATAAATACTACTCATCTCACCCTATATTTTAAGGTAAGTAATGAGTGAACTGTATATACATTTTATCACTCTGGGATGCTTAAATATCATAGAATTGTATGTGTGGGTGGGGTGGCCTGGTATGGTAGCCTGGCTGACTACCATACATACCACACTTGATTTCTTACAATAAATACTACTTGTCTCACCCTAGATTAAGACTATAAATATTTTAGGGTAAGTAATGAGTGCACTATGTGTGTATTGTACTTTTTTATTGTTTTTTGATGCCTGGTTCTATTGCTAACTTAATATATGTTAGTGTAAACTTGTTATCTAGTGTTTGTATGCATTTGTAAGTGGAAAAAAAGGGTGTTCCACTTTACGGCGGTAGCCTGGAACCTAACCAGCCGTATAATTGGGGCCCTCCTGTATATGATATGGCTCAATCACAATGGTTGGCTGAAAAGTTTAATTTGCTGGATCAAGAGCAGTTGCAACTATATTAAGCATCCCACAATTACAGCATTTCAAGCCAGGAGCAAAAGATGTTTTTACTGTATTTCCCATAGTTATAGTTTTCCGTAATTCTGAATTTCCTATGAGATTAAAGCGAATGATGTCCCTATCTCCAATAAATAAACTATTTTTTAAACAATTTTCAATAATTGAAGACAAAGTCATATAAAGCAACGCTTTTAAGAATAAATGCAAAAAAAGGGTGAATCTCCATTGAAAGATGGACATCCACTCATCTTTTTCTAGGTATCTGTGGAGATTCAGATCACTGCAGGGTTTTTTACTCAAGCAACCTGTCTGAAAGCTGGACTTCCTGGTGACTGCCCAACTATCTAGCCTATTGACTATAGCAAACACCAAGTAGCATAATACTAAATAGGGATGGGACAATACCAAATTTTTTCCCGATACCAATAATCAATTTTAGGCTGACACCAATACCAAAAAATTAACTGATACCCACCAAAACTGGTACCATCAAAATTGGCCAATATCCACTGATAGTGATACTTTGGCACACCTTAATACTAAGCTATACTATACGAAACATACTACACAGTATATGATGTACACTTACCTCTTTTTTGACTTCCTTGACCTTTTCAGCATGTTTAATGAGAATGTGTTTATGCACATACTCAGCTCCCTTGAACTTCTTTCCACAGAGTGGACACTGCCATTTGTCTTTGGCCACTTCCTGGGTATTGGACTGAACAAACTTCTCAACCTCTTCCTCTGCTTCTTTTAAACCTAAAATATAAAGGAAAAAATTAAGTGGAGAAAAGTGGCTTTTTGGTAAAACATTCTGCTGAAATATGAGTACTGTGCATGCATTTTTATGACATCTACTGTACACTATCTAGTCTGAAATACATTTCCAAGTTAAAGACTTGCCTAGTTTTTTGGACTCTTCCTCACTCAGTTTAGTAAGGGGCTGAAGGAAAGAGCCTATTTTGTTCTCAAAGGCTCGACAATAGTCCTGTACCTCCTGTGGGGTTACTTTGCTAGATGGAGGTATGCCACGTGCATGCATTATACCACATCGGTTTGGCATTTCATCTTCATTAGGGTATTCAGAATGATTGTAATAGTCAACGGAATGAACAATACGAAGGTAGAGCAACAACCTGTCAAGGACCTGCAAAAAGAATGAGACATGAAAGAACTACAGTATATTATAAACACAAAAGAACAATAAGAAAAAATGTCAATTTAAGAAACAGGGGAGAATTACCAACAAAATGTTGGGTAAATGGACACAGATGCAACAAATTTAACATTTTGCTGTAGCAACGTTTCAATCTCCAAGAGCACTGTCAAGCCTAACAGTTTGACAAAGCTCCCGGAGAGAGAAACGTTGCCACAATAAAATGTCACATTAGTTGCAACTGTGTCCATTCACCTAACAACGTAAGAAACAGAATGAACAACATTTGAATAACAAATATATGAAAGGATAATGATGCAAGAACAATCTGATGACTATGCTACAATACTGACAACTGTTCATAAAATACACTCGAATTATACTTACTGCAATTAGACTAGGATCACGCTCTATTGCTTCCCCTTCAGGTTTTTCTTCAGTGTTGTTTGCAGCAGCATTATTAGCTCCAAGAAGCTCTTCTTCCTCTGCACTTGCTTCTTCAATCAAATAATCTGTTATATTGCGCAGCACTGGGTTTGACGAAGACGTAAGACTCAGCAACTGCTTTGAGAGAAAAAGAAAAAAAAAATGTCTACCTGCATTTTTTATCCCATGCCCAACCTGCGAACCCTCCTTTCTTGAGGAAATAGCCTTTTACAAAACCTTTCTTCACCATTTGTAACTTAATTCAGGCATTAAAAGGTAACACTAAGTACATCACCAAACAACCCATCCTCCTAAGTAATGTCAGTACAGTATTTCACTAACTGAAGAATATCGGATGAGTGGTGTTTACACTTAAATGAAAATGTGATTTGACAACATATTGTACAGTCTGCCCAAAGAGTCCCCATTGTTTGTGCTTGCAAAAAATTTGATTGCCTCATGTACAGTATCTGTATTATTGCATTTATTAACATTGGGGCATGTTACAACCACTTAATTTTTGCTAAACAATGACAATCTAACCTAACCTACCGTTGATGAGTGTCAAGGTTTTTTTGTACTTCCAGAGCCCAGCCTTGTGCCTGGCTTGTCTGGTGCCTGCCTGATCAACCAGGCTGTTACTGCTGGTGGCCTGCTGGCCCACATCCATGACAGCCTGGCTCAAAATAATATGTAAGAAACTGACTCTGGCTTTAGGATGGGCAGTAACAACCTAGATTTATTTGGTGATGAACTGTGGTCTAATAACAGATTATACAATATTTTATAATGGTATATTATCTGTTATGTACACCTACTTTGTGGAAAGTTCCATGGACTAGTAATGGAACAGCAACCTGCAGTCAACCTCTTAAATACAGCAGCAATGTATCCTGTATCCACTTTTCACCCAGTTATCCTTTCGTGTTAATCACAAGTTCATGACTAACAGACACCTTTGTTTTTAAGGGAAAAAATCACCATCACACATCCAATGTAAAAATCTCTATAATTCCCATTTAAGTAATGCTTGAATAAAACATCCTCAGTAACTAACTGCACTAAAAGATCCCTGCTTCATCAAAGGATCACTGAGTAACATTTACAGGGAAAGTAGGTCCTGGTTCTTAAATACCCAACAATTGCAAACAAATGATTGTATGTCCTCATTCTGATAAGGAAATAATCATGTCATTTACATAGTTAATGTACCCAAGTTCGATGCACAACAAACCTTCAAAGCTTTCAAGGAGTGAATAGAAAATCATTACTGTGACAGGTGCCAGTATACTGTAACCTATATATAGTAATTTTATAAGACATAGAATAAACTTTTTAAGTCTTAATATAATTTATAATTAAACCTTTGATATACCTCTGAAAGATTTCAAGAGTTTTCCTACTCCCATAGTCTGACCCTAGCAAAGGCCTATCTGGTGCATTAGTTGAAAAATAGAGAAAAATGTTGATTTTTAGAGTGAAAATAGATTCAAAATAGAGAATAAGTGTTAAGGTTAGAATACAGTGTTTGCTTTAAGACTCGTTTTTAAATAAGAATCTACTGAAAATAAGTGTAAAAATAGATACATTATCAACTTCTGGGTGCATATTAGGGTAGTATTTTATGACTGATGGGTAGTACGGAAAGCATACTAGCAAAAAGCTAGAAATTAGGTCAGTGTCAATACTGGAATTAACTTTAAGCGGGCCTAAAACTGGGGAATATCACTGTTGTATAAAGTGCTCCTACTTCCAACTTTGTGCCTGTGCAACTGCATTTTTGGTACCATTACCATAACAAAATGATTCTCAACCATTTTAGTAGTCTTTTTTTTTTTTTTCCCAAAAAATGTGAATGCAAAATATATTTTCAATTTTTGGATTGTAGGTGAGGCCTTACCTGCCCTCAGGAATATCAGCAAAAATCAAATATTTCTGCAACTCTGAGGTCGATTTCAAGCTACTTATGGTCCTGGAACTAACAAATATCATTTCTATTTCTGTAAAATGCCTTTCATTCTATCAAACGATACCAAGAAAGTCAATAAAACATAAAAACTTCCCTAGAAATTCCCTCAAAGTCACTATTTTAAACCAAACATAAGGTCCGTCTTGCTCTTCCTATCATGCACTGCATCAGCCAGGATTTTTATTATACTGTACACACTCAACACACAGACCCATTCTCTTTTATCTAGGCCCAAATTTACCAATCACAAGTTTAAATGAGCTGAGCTCATGACAGATCTACATGATGGAGTATGGTTTCGGTAACAGTTCTATGTGACATGCAGTTAAAGGGTTAAAGTTTGCACAGCTGGCACTGGTCAAGACAACCCAGGCAAGCAAGAGGAAAAGAATATTTAGCTGGGCAAAAACTGGCTACAGTCCATTATTGGTGTAAGTAGTAGTTTACTGATACTCTGATATTCCTATAACAGTTCATGGTATCTGAATACCGCCCACAAATATATTTTTTAGGACAAGCATTATTAACCTGATATATTGCATATATTTTAAGACAAAGAATATCAAAAAGTTCTTTAATTAATTCATGATATTATAGAAGTATACAAAATACAATGCAACTATCTCCATCTCAGCAACCACATACTGGATTATCTTGATTGTCGCTGCTATCCATCCAGAGACTCCATCGAGAGTCTAAATTCTGAATAATCTTGGCTGACAACTTGATGTCGGCACGAACTACAGAACGATGAGAAGTGATTCCATTTACAGTGCGAATGCGACGGCTCAGATCCCGATTGACTATGGCGCCCAGTTCACAATCCCGCAACTGTGGGTTAAGAAAATATAAAATGAACTTAAAATTTATAAAAGATTAATTGTTGGATATTATTGGTATTAAAATATGTCAAACAGCAAGCCCTTTACAAAAGTGCAAATGCTAAACATGGACAAGCGTATTTTGACACCCTTGTCAATTTTACTCCAACCTTAACTATATAAAATCCATAGCAAAAGAGTGTAATTTCTACAGATTCTCTTCCTCTGACACTTCAGCCTCTTTTAAACTCAATGTTTTTAATTCAAGTGTTTTTCATAATTGTCATTTTTTTAACTAGATACTTTCAAGTTTACTTCATACATTATCTTTTTCAGCATCAGCAACACATATATTTGCTTACATTTTACTTTATTTTTATTTTTTTTAACATGTCAGCCATTTCCCACTGAGGCAGGGTAACCCAAAAAGAAAAACTCAAAAAGAAAGAAAAAACTTCCATCATCATTCAACACTTTTGCCATCACTCATAATCACTGTCTTTGCAGAGGCACTCAGATACAACAGCTTAGACGTCCCTCCAAACTGTCAATATCCCAAACCCCTCCTTTAAAGTGAAGGCATTGTACTTCCCACCTCCGACTTAAGTCCAGCTAACCGTTTTCCCTGATTCCCTTCACAAAATATTACCCTGCTCACACTCCAATAGCTCATCAGGTCCCAAAAACCATTCATCTCCATTCACTCCTATCTAACATGCTTACACATGCCTGCTGCATGTCCAGGCCCCTTGCACACAAAACCTCCTTTACTCCCTCCTTCCATTCTTTTCTAGGATGTCCCCTACCCCTCCTCCCTTCCACTACCAATTCATACACCCTCCAAGTCATTCTGTTTTGCTAGACCCTCTCTAAATGTCCAAAACACCACAATATCCCCTCTTCAGAAAGAAAATCAGACATGGGTGTAGGAAATCCAAAATCCTATTTTAAACGATATGTTACAGTTGTTTTCAATTAAAGTGTGTGTGAAGTAAGAAGAATATGGACATTACTATTATGGTCATGGGGGAAGAGTGGGGTTAACACAAACCTATAAGGGTCATACAGCACACTGGTCAACAGAAGGCATTCAGATTCAATCAAAGAAAGGGGAGTACAGTTCCAATTCCTTAGATCAAGAGCCCATCATCAGCATCAAGGAACCTCCATGGAGGGTAAATAATATGAACCTAACCATAAGGGATGTTAATACGTATCATGTAAGTGCTGAAGCAATGTATGAGTCTTCCGTATTTCATGAAAAATATGAATGATTTAAATTTGCAAAATACAGTACTACACAACTTAGGAAAACTATTATAAAAACTTCAACAATTTTACTTGAAAATATTCAACTATTAGATATTTCATTAAATATTAAGTAAATAATATTATGAATGATATTAATACTATTCATAAAATACTCACCCTGATATTGTTTAGATTCCAGCATATATCCTTGATATTGACGTGTCTCTTAAAAGTAACCCAGCCACGTCTAAACCACCGGCGTTCTGGCTGGGGATCAGCAATGGCAGCTCGTAAAAATCCATTGTATCGCCGACACATCTGTTAGAAAAAAACAACTTTTTTTAGGTTACAATATTACCTACTTATTCATTAATAAATGTACAGTGCCTGGGACTCTGCAGGAGGGACCAGGCCCACAAGTATCTTTATCTTCTCCTTTATAGAGAGAACAGGTCAGGCTTTGTGTGGCATTCCCAATAGTCTAAATGTTTTATTAGTAATACAAAGGGATATTGGCAGTTTGGAGGGATATGTTGTGTATTTTTATACGTATATGCTTCTAAACTGTTGTATTCTGAGCACCTCTGCAAAAGCAGTGATAATGTGTGAGTGTGGTGAAAGTGTTGAATGATGATGAAAGTATTTTCTTTTTGGGGATTTTCTTTCTTTTTTGGGTAACCCTGCCTCGGTGGGAGACGGCCGACTTGTTGAAAAAAAAAAAAAAAATGATAGAGTGGATAGGGGAGCAATGTGGCAGATGTTGCAAGTATATGGAATAGGTGGCAAGTTACTAAATGCTGCAAAGAGTTTTTATGAGGATAGTGAGGCTCAGGTTAGGGTGTGTAGAAGAGAGAGAGACTACTTCCCAGTAAAGCAGGTCTTAGACAGGGATGTGCAATGTCACAATGGTTGTTTAATATATGTATAGATGGGATTGTAAAAGAAGTAAATGCTAGGGTGTTCAGGAGAGGGGTGGGATTAAATTATGGGGAATCAAATACAAAATGGGAACTGACACAGTTGCTTTTTGCTGATGATACTGTGCTTATGGGAGATTCTAAAGAAAAATTGCAAAGGTTAGTGGATGAGTTTGGAAGTATGTGTGTAAAGGTAGAAACTTGAAAGTGAACATAGAAAAGAGTAAGGTGATGAGGGTATCAAATGATTTAGATAAAGAAAAATTGGATATCAAATTGGGGAGGAGTGATAATGTGTGAGTGTGGTGAAAGTGTTGAATGATGATGAAAGTATTTTCTTTTTGGGGATTTTCTTTCTTTTTTGGGTCACCCTGCCTCGGTGGGAGACAGCCGACTTGTTGGGAAAAAAAAAAAAAAAAAAAAGGGAATATCTCCATGGGGAAGTGGAACAGAATTCTTCCTCCGTAAGCCATGCGTGTCATAAGAGGCAACTAAAATGCTGGGGGCAAGGGGCTAGTAACCCCTTCTCTTGTATAAATTACTAAATTTAAAGAGAGAAACTTTTGTTTTTCTTTTTGGGCCACCCTGCCTTGGTGGGATACGGCCGGTTTGTTGGGGAGAAAAAAAAAGGGGGGGGGGATATACAGTGCCAACAAAAGAAATCGAACTGACACTGCAGATGACATCAACAAATTTTGATTTTTGTTACTTTCTCATCTCGTCCACTAGACAGCACATGTATTCACCTTCATGCGGTTGCAAGGGTTAAGTCTTAACTCCAGGCTCAGCCTCTTTAACTTGCCAAATTCATGATCTCCTAGCCTCATGGTCCCTACCCTACCTATTCTTAACCCTTTGAGGGTCGACAGGCCTCTCCGAGACTCGTTCTCAGGGTCGGCCAAATTTAAAAAAAATAATAATTTTTTTTTCTTATGAAAAGATAGAGAATCTTTTCCCGATCATAATGACACCAAAAATATGAAATTTGATGGAAAACTTACGGAATTATGCTCTCACGAAGTTAGCGGTCTTGGCGATGTTTACGCATCGGCGATTTTGCTCACTTTGAGCCCCATATTCGGCCAATTCCACTGTACTAGTCAACAAAAAACATGAATATTTCGCTAGAACTCCATTTTTTCTATCAAATGAGTGCAAGAAACCACCCATTTACCAATTTCAACTATCCAGTACAGTGGTCAGAATTTAGCAATTTTGCCAATTTCACACAAATTTCAAAAGATGCCGATTTCCGAATAGGGTCCAGAATAAACAAGAAAGACATTCCTGGCACTAAAATGACATTTCCTCTGTTCATTAGTCACGTATCAAGGCCCCTCTTACATTCTTTTGCTTTCCACTTCGAATTTTTATTCTCACAAAAAATAGAAGATTTACTGTTATGCAGACTACTGCATCAGTGTAAAAAATGGTATAAATAATATTGGCGCACTTGCAAAAGAATATCAGACTCACCAGTTGATGTGTATTGGACGCTTGGCATGATTTGTTTACGTTTGAACTTTGGTAAAAATCGAACATTTCTGCTACTTTGAGCTCAATTTCAAGGTATTTTCATTGTAAAACCAGTCAAAATCATCTCAATTTCTGTAATATGTCTTCTATTTTATAAAATGAGACCAAGAAAACTAGAATACAACAATAAATACCATACGAAAATACAGTGCAAAGTCGCTGTTTTATTAAAAAAAAAAGGTCAAAGTTTTATTTTTTCTCATTATGCACTGTGTGCTGCAGGATTTTTTTATACTGTGCACACTGACCACATAGACCCATTCTTTCATATGTAGGCCTACCAGCTTTCTCCCACTAGATTTGAGGGCGCTACAATTTAGGCGTACTAGTACGTCAAAAACCTGGGTCGTAAGCCATACTAGTACGGCCGAAACCCTCAAAGGGTTAAAACTACGTAGTCTGCCTCCACCAGTTCTTCCTTACCTTTGATATTTCTTTGACAAGTTTCGAGTCTACTGCTCTCAGAGTGATACATTCTACTTCCTGACCACCCTGAGACATGCAATACTTCCTAGCATCCTTGTGACTTATCTGTCTTTAGCTTCCAACTGTGCCTCTGAATGCCTGTTTTCTGCCTCTCAAAAAAAGTCTGCTCTTCTTCTTCTCTAATAATTCTGAGTATTTTGTTTATGTCTCCCCTGGTCCTTCCGTCCTCCAGGGTAGTTACATTAAATTCATTTATCTTTTCCTCATAGCTCATACCCCTTAGCTCTTGAACTAGTCTCACTGCATACTTCTGCACTTTCTCCAGTTTCTTAACGTGCTTCCTGAGGGTGTGGGTTCCATACTGATGTCGCATACTCCAAGATGGGCCTGACATGTTGAATAATGCATCCGGAATGACTCTTGTTGAAATTTCTGAAGGCTACTCTCAGATTTGTCAGACAAGAATTGAATGCAAAGGTCATTCAGTTGATTTGAACCTTTGCTAACCTGGTAGGCACTATGCTTATTCACAGGTCCTCTTTGAATAAGATCTGCAGCCTCTGTCCCTTAAGTCCATACTTTCTGTCTAGTCTTCTGGCCCCTTCCCCAAACTTCATAACCATGCATTTGCTGGGGTTGAATTTAAGTAGTCTGGCAGTAGGCTGGTCATATGTGAGGCAACTCTCTCACTGCTGAAGGAGGCTGCATTTTCATGTACTCTTGTCCCCATTTAGACCTTCCCATTGGACTATTTGGAGCTAATATTATGGTCATCAGGGATTGTAAAAAGGCCTTGCAAGCTTGGTATGGAAAAGAAAGCTTGTTTTGGCCCTGGCAAGAGAACACTGGATTCCAATTGAGAGTGACTATTCCAAGAACCTCTGAAAGTCTTCATGATTTAAAAAAGTAATTAAAGCTAAATGCAGAATAAGCCAACATGAGATTATAAGAATAAGTAAGTGTTCAGTTCTTTGTTTCATTCCCCATTTTATTACTATTGTGTGTAAAATAATGGAAAAGGGCATGTCACTCAATTTATTTTCCAGGCCCTGTACAATCTTATATTTTCCAGCTCGGCTATCTCTCCTGCCTTGAAAAGCACTAAGCACAGATTTAAAAAAAAAAAAAAAAAGTGCAATATCAGCAAAGAAAACCCCCATCTTATTTTTTACAGCATCTCCCACCCTCATTCATCCAAGAGTTGTCCTGCCAGAAGGGCACACAAAAATTGCAAATAATCCTCAGAACTGTAACAACACCACCCTTCAGAGTGTAAGAACTGTACTTTCATCTTCTAGAAGCAAAGCTAATCAGCTTCCCTGAATCCCTTCACTAGCTGTGGATATCAAATAGTAGGTTATCAGACTGCAGATAACAAAAAAATGGGAGAAGTGGAGTGGAACTTGAAGAAAGTGAAAGTACAGTACGTATCTACTTAGCCACCTTACTAGAAATACGCAACAATACACACAAAATTAAACACTGAACTTACAGCCTCCACTTCCTGTTTGGTTATAGTAGGTGCAAGATTTCGCAAAAATATTGATGCAGTTTTATGAAGGGCTCGGGGACGCGCTTCTTCTTCCTCTTCTTTGCCCTCTTCCTCATCCTTCTTGTCTTTATCTTTGTTTTCTTTATCACTAACTTTGGACTCACTTTCTGCCAAACAAATCATGATCATTACTTTTTACTGCATATGAAATAGTTATGAAGAGAGAGAGATGCTATTTTATCATATACATGGCAAACTAAATCAAGTGTATTTTTATTTACTACATCAGCCATCTCCCAGCAAGGCAGGGTGACCTCAAAATAGAAAACATTCACCATCATTCCTTCAATATCTGTCCTCCCAGAAAGGTGTTGACACAATTCACATGTCCCTCCAAACAATAACATCCCTACCCCTCCTTTAGAATGCCAACACTACTTCCTATCTCCAGGACTCTAAGTCCGACTAACTAGTTTCACCTGAATCCCTTCATAAATGTTACCTCACTTACATGTCAACAGAGCATTTAATCCCTGAGACTCCAAGCTAACATGCCCACACATGCTTCAAGTCTCTCTCACTTAAAACCTTCACAACCTTCCACCAGCCCTTGGTCATCCTATACACCCTCTTGGTCATCCTATTCTGTGCCACCTGCAAATAGCTAAACTACCTCAACAACCCTTCCTCTGCCATCTGAATAATACATTTGTAAACCCCTCAAAACATTTATGCACTCTAAACACAGCAGTACATTGCCACCACCCACCTATCTCTTAATCACTAGAGGTTTATTGTATACACAAATTCATAAATGGACCCTGTTACAATACATATTTGTTACTATGAAATCGTGATGACATGACTGCAAACAAACCATACCACGGGTGGGGACAGAACCACGGGTTCTATCCCCACCCGTGGTATGGTACATATTTGTTACTTTTTAGAACAGGGGAATAAAAATGATACTTACCCTCTCCATCCTCTCTGTCTTCTCTCTCCTCTCCATTCTCTTCACCTGGAGGTTGTAGTCCATTCTCCTTAGCCACTGCTGCTGCTGCCACTGCTGCCTCTTCTTCATTCTTTTCCCCTTCCTCTTCCCCCTCTCTTGCTTTTAAGCCATCTAAACTTGCTGTTTTCTCCATTCCAGGTGGTGGTGGTTCCTTTGGTTCATCATCTACTGGTTCATCCTCAGATTCACTTGAAGAGGTGGATGATGAACTACCCGAGTGCTTTCTCTTGCGAGCTTCTATTGGAAAGAAAATGCAACTTATATACCCAAAGCTCTGAAATACTCCATCTAGTAGCTTCTAACTACCTTACTACATATATCTTTCCAGCTTATTTCATTCTCTCATAAACTTATTCCCAGCACTTCCCTATAACTAATAACTAATCATATGTACAGTGGACCTCCAAGTTTCATGATTACTCTGTTCCAGAGTATCTGCTGAAAATCGGAATTCACAAATGTCGAAACCATTTTCCCCATAAGAAATAATGTAAATCCAATTAATCCGTTCCAGATACACAAAAGCATTAACTAAAATTTTTTTTTTTTTAGATTAAATATAGATTTACATTCAGAAAAGAATGAGAAATAAAGTATAAAATAATAATATCACTTACCTTTATTGAAGACTCTTGTTGGTGTATGAAAGACAGGAGGAGGGGAGAGGATGGAGAAGTAACCCTACTGTTTGGAAGAGGAATCCCCTTCCATAAAGACTTAAGATACTAAGTCCTTATCCAGGGTTACTTCCCTTCGTAGTTTTTAAATGTCACTAGGACCAGCTTGAGTCACTGGACCCCTGTCGCTCAAAAAATTTGCCTCAAATGGGACAAGACATCGTCATTATGTGTTGCCAACACAGCTTGCAACAGCTTTGTCAGGGTGATGTTCCTCCATAAATGTTTGCACCTCACTCCACTTTGCACAAATGTCCTTAACTTTGAAGAAGGTGCCTTCTTCCATCTGTCTTCCTCCTCCTCTGAAGCAATTTCCTCAGCTGTGATCTGTTGCTGTTGCAGATGAAGGTCTTGCAGCTCTTCAATGGTTAGCTCTTCATTGTGGTCCTTCACCAACTCTTCCACATCCTGGCCACTCACATCCGACCCCATGGAATTATCCAATGCCAAAATCAATTGCACAGCAGGTGTAGGGTCGACAGGGTCAGCCTCAAACCCTTCAAAATCCTTCTTTTGGACACATTCTGGCCACAATTTTCTCCAAGTAGAGTTCAAAGTCCTGGAAGTCACTCCCTGCCAAGCCTTATCTATAAGGCTTATGCAACTGAGGATACTGAACTGATCCTTCCAGAACTCTCTTAGGGTCAACTGAGTGTCTGAGGTCACATCAAAGCACCTTTGAAACTTTGCATTAGTATACAGTTTTTTGAAGTTTGAAATGATCTGCTGGTTCATGGGATGGATGAGAGAAGTGGTATTAGGGGGCAAGAACTTCACTGTTATAAAACTAAACTCCTCCACTATTTGGTCATCCAAGACTGGAGGATGAGCAGGAGTAATGTCCATTATCAGGAGGCACTCGAGTGGCAATTTTTTTTCCAGGAGGTATTCCTTCACACTTGGGCCAAACACTTCACTGAACCAATCAAGGAAAATTTTCCCTATGACCCAAGCCTTACTGTTAGCCTTCCACATCACACACAATTTACTCTTGGCGACACTGTTTTTCTTGAACACATTGGCATTTTCAGTGATGCACTAGTAAAGGCTTCACTTTGAAATCCCCACTAGCATTACCACAGAACATGAGAGTTAGCCTGTCTTTCATAGGCTTGTGTCCTGGCAGTGCCATTTCCTCCTGTGTGATGTAGGTCCTCTTTGTTGGGGGACGAATCCTTCAGCCTTTACATAGTCCTTGATTTCCTGCACGAATTTTTCAGCCACATATTTGTCAGAACTGGCAGCCTCACCATACCTTACCACACTGTGTAGGCCACTAAGCTTCTTAACTCTCTCAAACCAGCCTTTGCTGGCCTTAAATTCACTAACATCAGCACTCATTCCAGGGATTTTTGTTACAAGATTGGCATGCAACTGCTTTGCCTTTTCACAAATTATCAACTGCATAACATTATCTCCTGCTAATTACTTTTGGTTGATCCACACTAAGAACAAATTCTCAACATCTTCGAGTATTTGCGATCTCTTTTTGGTGAGCATATCTACCCCTTTTGCAACAACAGCTTCCTTGATTTCCTTTTTCTTCGACATGATAGAAGTGATCGTTGAATGGGGCTTCCCATACATCCTGCTGAGTTCGACCACACGCACTCCACATTCATATTTTGCGATTTCTTTCTTTCTTTAATTCTATCATGTTTCTCACCTTCTTTACCAAAGGGCTGGCACTAGAAGATTTCTTTGGGCCCATGGTGGTTTATTCAGCAGTTGCAAGCACAATAAAGAATGGATTATTACGAAATGTATCATATGAACGCGTGGTGATGGTCACTCGTCCACAAACAATGCCACATTGACCCCTCAATGCTGTGTGGGACCATTTGTGTACGCCTGGCTGCTCCCAGCAGCACGGACGCATTCCGTACGACGGATGAATCACGAGGCAAATCATGAACCGCGAGGCTTTATTTTGACGAAAAATGTTGCCGAAAGTCGAAATTCAAGAAGCACGAGGCTCATGAAACTCGGGGGTCCACTGTATATCCTCATGGAAGCTTTCCTTTATATGTCTATACCTTTTAAAAGTAATATCTAACAATAAGATTATTCCTCATCCTCTTCATACTCAATCCAATATAAATGGATGCATGCTTTGCATTAGACAGAATTACTAATTTTTTCTCTTCACCCTAGTTATTTATGCAGACATGAATCAAGCTACAAAAATATTCTTTGGTTCACCTTATCTTTTGTGGATCCACCTGCTGACAGGGCCACTCCCAAATATTTTAATGCTTTCACTTCCTCTATGTCACCATAATTATTAAAACCAATTCAGATCCCTTCAATATTTTTAATTTCTCACTTAAATATTTTTCCATTTCAATTCTTAATTTTCCTCCACTTGCATTCGTCCAATACATTCTTTATTCCAAATCCCAGACTAGACTAAAATTGACACAGTGTGCTATATCTGGCAATTCTCCCATTACAACTTGCATATTTACTTTCTAATTTTCTATCTTCTAATACATGACTTATTAAAATCTGTTTGTATATGTGAATGCTTAATAAATTTAAAACAATGATGTGCTTGTACTCATGAAACTGACCTTTTTCTCCATCTGTGCCTTTTTGCTTAAGGTATTCTTTGGCCTTCTTTTGGAGTTCCATTTGTTCTTCAGACATATCCATTTTCATTGGTTCATCTGGATTTTTCTCTTTAGATTTGTCCTTGCCCTCACCATCATCAGAACTACAAGCAAATTAAATTTGAAATTATAAGGGTTTTCCTCCAGTGAATATATAAATAAATCTGATTCTAGTTCTTTATTCACAAAAAAAAAAAACCCATGAATGTTGTATACACATTAAAATGAATGGGCACAGATAATGGATGAGTATTGGTATCCATTAGCTAAAGAAAATAACAGAAAAATCTCCTGCAATATTACATCCCTAATAAACAGTTTGTTTGGATATATGTATCACCCAACATAGTTCCTGAAATATTTTGGTATCTCAAGGATTAAACCTGGAAGACAGTTTGATTGTGGGTTACTGATCCTCATGCCATATGGTTCAAGCCTGTATCATTAAATCAAGAACATAAGGATTTTCATTTCAGCTTAAGTAATGTTCAAAAATAAATTTAGTAGGTCCCCCAATTAAGACATTACTGCATTTCTGAAAATCATTCAGAAGTCAACTGCTCATAACTCCCAACTTATTTTCACCCTCAAGTGAACTTGTATCGATGCATCCAAGCTTCATATGAAAAGGCGTTCATTTTCTTTTGGCTTGGCTCATGAACCAACCACAGAATTTCACCTGGTCTTCATTTTCTTTCAGCTTGGCTCATGATCCAACAATAGAATTTCATTCGAAATAACCTCACTGGATTTCCCTTGCCCAAATCTGTTTTCTGTCTAGGCATTGTTTGTGCGCACGCGTTTGTAAGTCATTAATTGGTTCTGAATTGCCGATGTCAAAAGCAAAATGGATGAAGTCGGGATTTATTGTATATTACTATATAGATGAATTACAATTTTCAAATGCAATACAAACAGTTTATTTAAAGCCAAGGACAATGCAGATTTATTATACAGTAGTTAGTGAGAAATGTGTATCAAAGTACTTCCTTTGATTCCTTATTGTTATACAAACATGTTTGTTCTGCTTTTGAACACATGACAATCTAACATTAGGTTTAAAAATACAGTGGACCCTCGACCAACGATTGCATCGATTAACGATAAATCCGACTAGCGATACATTTTAACGCAAACATTTTGCATCAACTAGCGCTAAAAAACTCGACCAACACTATTCGTTCCGTTTGAGATGCGTCCACTTCTGGCCAGTGTTTACAAGCCAGCCAGCCACCGTGGTCGCTTCCAAGCATACAATCGGAACATCTCATATTATCACAGCCTTTTTAGTGATTGCACCTGCAAAATAAGTCACCATGGGCCCCAAGAAAGCTTCTAGTGTCAACCCTACAGCAAAAAGGGTGAGAATTACTATGGATATGAAGAAAGAGATCATTGCTAAGTATGAAAGTGGAGTGCGTGTCTCCGAGCTGGCCAGGTTGTACACAAAACCCCAATCAACCATCGCTACTATTGTCGGCAAGAAAACGGCAATCAAGGAAGCTGTTCTTGCCAAAAGTGCAACTATGTTTTCGAAACTGAGATCGCAAGCACTCGAAGATGTTGAGAGACTGTTATTGGTGTGGATAAATGAAAAACAGATAGCAGGAGATAGCATCTCTCAAGCGATCGTATGTGAAAAGGCTAGGAAGTTGCATGACGATTCAATTAAAAAAAATGCCAGCAACTAGTGGTGATGTGAGTGAATTTAAGGCCAGCAAAGGTTGGTTTGAGAGATTTAAAGGGAAGGGAAGTAACCCCAGAAAAGGACTTGCCACTTCAAGTCCTAATGGAAGGGGATTCCCCTTCTAAACACTAAGACCATCAACACTCTCCCCTCCTCCCATCCCATCAATTATCACCTGATCTTCAATAAAGGTAAGTGTCATGTAACTGTGCATGTCTTCTTCAGTTTGTGTGTATTAAAATTAGTATTTCATGTGGTAAAAACAATTTTTTTTTTCATACTTTGGGGTGTCCTACACGGATTAATTTGATTTCCATTATTTCTTATGGGGAAAATTAACTTGACTAACCATAATTTTGACTAACGATGAGCTCTCAGGAACGGATTAATAGCGTTAGTCGAGGGTCCACTGTACACATGAGCAAAAACTTGAATATGTTTTTTAGAGAACATTTCAGTCCTAGGACTTTGATCACTTCCAACCAAGGACAAAAACTTTTTTCTAATAAATATATCTTACTGTTTCCTTTTATTCTAATAAATATAACTTACTGTCGACTAAAATGCCAGGAGGAAGGGGCTAGTAACCCCTTCTCCTGCATACATTAAAATTAAAATGAGAAACTTCTGCTTTTCTTTTTCACCACCCTGCTTCAGTGGGATACAGCCGGTTTGTTGAAAGAAGAAGATATCAAATTACGAAAATCTTTTGTCTTCATTAACTTCTAACCAACAGTTTATTTATTTATTTATTAACACATCGACCGTTTTCCACCAAGGCAACATGGCCCGAAATAGAAAAACTTTCAACATCATTCACTCCATCACTGTCTTGCCAGAGGCATGCTTACACTACAGTTATAAAGCTACAACATTAACACCCTCCTTCACTGTACTTCCCATCTCCAGGAATCAAGTCCGGCCTGCTGGTTTCCCTGAATCCCTTCATTAATGTTACCTTGCTTACACTCCAACAGCACATCAAGTCCTAAAAACCATTTGTCTCCATTTGCTCCTATTTAACACACTCACGCACACTTACTGGAAGTCCAAGCCCCTCGCACACAAAACCTCCTTAACCCCCTCCCTCCAACCTTTCCTAGGCCAACCCCTACCCCGCCTTCCCTCCATTGAAGATTTATACACTCTCGAAGTCATTCTATTTCGTTCCATCCTCTCTACATTTCCAAACCATCTCAATAACCCTTCCTTAGCCCTCTGGATAATAGTTTTGGTAATCCCACACCACCTCCTATCTCCAAACTACGGATTCTCTGCATTATATTCACACTACACATTGCCCTCAGACATGACATCTCCACTGCCTCCAACCTTCTCCTTATAGCAACATTCACAACCCACGTCTTACACCCATACAAGAGAATTTTTATAACTATACTCTCATATATTCCCCTCTTTGCTTTCATGGATAAAGTTCTGTCTCCACAGACTCCTCAGTACACCACTCATCTTTTTTCCCTTATCAATTCTATGATTTACCTTGACTTTCATAGACCCATCTGCTGACACATCCACTCCCAAATATCTGAATGCATTCACCTCCTCCATACTCTCACCTTCCAATCTGATATCCAATCTTGTTACCTAATGTTTTTTTATCCTCATCACCTTACTCCTTCCTATATTCACTTTTAATTTCCTTTTACATACCCTACCAAACTCATCAACTAACCTCTGAAACTTCTCTTCAGAACCTCTCAAAAGTACAGTGTCATCAGTAAATAGCAACTGTGACAACTCCCACTTTGTGTTAGATTCTTTAAGTAAATAAATAAATAAATAAATAAATAAATAAAAATCTTTTCAAGGCAAGTTATCTATCACTGTTAGAAAATTATATACTACCCAAAGAATCAATAAAATATCTCCAGTTGGAGCACTTAAAAAACACTTGGAATACACTCACTTTAATGAAACATGAGGTATTTAATAACCAGGCCCCAAATCACTACACATTACCATAAAAGTCTCCTTGAAAGATACTGAACAGTGCACAGAAATAAAAGGAAAATGTGACATAAGCACAACTGAAAAAAGAGTCAAAACCCAACATCTATTACTCTACATCTTACTAGCAGGTATAAAAAATATTTCTAGAATAAAGATGTTGTTCATGTCTCCAAGAGGAAACTAGACAAGCTTCTGTAATATGTGCCAGATCTGTCAGATTGTAGTGGCCCTGTGGGCCTACAGACCTGATGAACATTTGACAGATATGAACACCAATAGCTATAATCGTTCCTTAATCTGTGTATGTGGGGAAAATGGATGAGGCTTAACCTTAAAACCCTTCAACTAATGCCAAACCATTTAATCCTGAGCCTAACCAGCCAATCTCTCCAATTATCTTTCATTTCAATACTGAAAATCTCATTATACTACACTGACAATTTATGACTACTTTCAATACACTCAAGTTTATTAATCAGCTTTTGATGGAAGAATACACAATATTAAAGTTTTGACACAACAGGTGTTCAGAATAAGGTAAATACAAGTGCATGCTAGTAAAAAAAATACTAAACTTACTCTTCCCCCAAAATAAATGGTTTTTTATCTTCTTCTTCAGTGATCTGTGGCTTAACATCTTCCTCCGGAACCTGATCCAGCACCTGAAGATCTAAATCAGTGCCACCTTCCAGTTTGATGACAACAGAATCCAGCAATTTGAGTAGCTGATCTGACTGATCAGCATCTACAGTTATATTTTCCATGCGGTTGGCTTCATGCAGTTCCGTGAAAACAGACACACGCCTCTGAGGAGCAAATAATAATGAGACAAGGGAAACTTCCAGAATAGCAAAATTTCATTATCAAAGATAAATTATAATGTTATATTTGTTAATGATACCAAAACAAAGTATTAGTACCATCCGACGTACAACCGAGCTTGGTTCCGAACCGTCGTAAGTCAAAATGAATGCAAGCGAACCTTAGAAAATTGCCGACATGCTGGGTAGGGCATAACGTTAAACCTTTGCTATATAATGTACCTACACAGTGATGCTGCCTGAGTGATGTGAGAGCTCTCCCGAGATGGCACGTTGCCGCGAGTAGCAGTCAACTGTCATATGGTAGCATGCATTGGCCTGCCCAGCCCTGCTGCCAGACGTACGGTCGTAAGTACAAGGGGTCGTATGTCGAGAAGGTCGCAAGTCGGATGGTACTAGTAACACTAACTTAATACTGTACAACATTTACCTTGAGGTTAGCCAGTTGTTCGTCCTTCCGCTTCACACACTCCTCAGGATGGTACTTGGCCTTGAACCTAAAGTAAATCAATGAATGTATTAGAAATGAGATCAATAACAACAGACAACCCGACAATCCTCACTTACTATAGCGGTTCACATAGCGTGTTTCGTTCATTTCACAATCTCTAAACTGATAGAATCATCCGCTTACTATTTATTAGGGTCATCCACTGTACACCCATCACACTATTTACTACACTTTAATAGAATTTACAGTACTAATTTGTGATAAAACACTCCTAACAACCGGGTAATGACTAATGTTGCATGTCGTCGTTTCTGGATCCATTGCGATTTACTATCATTGTCTCAGTGTTGGTGATATTTGAAGAGAAATCAAGAAATATGTTATCACTAGGCACAATAATTCTCACCTGCCTTGGCTGGCAACCTGAATCACACATGGGCTCGGTAAGTAGATAACGAAGCGAACGACAGGTCATTGTGCGACCCCCTAACTAACAAACGTTCAAATCGCATCACTAACACTGCATTGCGCGCAGCGCCCCTAACTAACCGCGGAAACGAGCCCCATGTGCGCTTTTCACCAGTTCGTCAGAACAGAAATTCAAGCTGGCGTGAGGTCTGCAGCAGTTGGTAGAAGCTGGAAAACAACTGTTAGGGGGCAAATGTTAGATTAGGTAGGGAAATGCCTCAAGCAGACATCCCATTTATTTATTTATAGAATTTAACTGTTTAAGAGAGGAAAATGTTTTGAAGAACTTTAGAATCTTTTAAGATTACTTTGATATATAAACTCATACCTAGCCATGTGTAGTTAAGTTTAGTTCATTTACGAGTAAGATATTCTCAAAACTTAAATATCTTATGAATATTTAATCTCATATCTAAGTATAAGAGGTTAATCATTTTAACTCCCATTCTAATATCCCCCTCCGAATTCTTTCCCTATTAATAACCAGTAATAGATTCTTTAGTTCTTAACATGACTGAGCTAGGAGGTAAGGATTATAAATGAAGATAAGTGTTAATCAAGAAAAGTGAAAACTAAATTACTTACTTTTTGTATTTTTCTTTACAAAACATTCATGAAAAATTAAATAAAACACTAAAAATCATGAGTTTTAAGAGGTAACCTTTATCTCTAGCTTTATCTGCAAAAAAAAAAAAAAGGTTATATATGACTATTAGAACCTATACCAAGCAGCAAAATTCCCATTTTAATGACATCACAATAAAAAAAATTTTACCAGCCATAAGTCAACCCTTTTTTCTTGAACAAAAAGTCCCCCAAGCTATATCCTTTCCATTATGAGGACACAAAAAAATTAAAGAGTTGCATCTATACGAACCAAACTGCTGAAAGAATCAGCAGTTAAAATCCGATGACAACCCATCACAGCTCACCAATACAGTGACCCAGAGGTAGAAGCAAAGGCCATGGTAGTAAGACAGATTAAAACTTATTTATAATAAGTTGGGGAAGCAATAAACCCACAGGGGTCACACTGCACCTAGGGAATGCGAAGCAGTTCAATTCCATGGAAGTACGGACTGATTTCAGCTCCTTGGATCAAAGAGCCCCTCACCACTTGATGTCCCTTGAAAGGAACAGATCAGAAACTTTAACATCTATGAGCAACAGATAGCATGCACCATAAGGCAACAAGGAACTGCAGAGGAAGGTCTGCACCAGGTACACAAGTAATAAGTGATTCACCAAGTCTTGGTGGGACAATTGCAGCAACACTGAAGTCCTGCATGCTATCCATATATTCTTCTTACAAAATTCTTAAGTCCAATATTGTTCAATGCGGCTGATTATACTACCAGGTTAATGCTAGTGACTGTGCATAAAGATGGTGATAATGCACTAATGTAACGGCTGGTGATTGTGCACTAGTTTATGGTTGGTACATGTTCACATTTAAGGTGACGATTGGTTCTAGTGGTGTAAAGCAGTGATTATACACTAGTGCAAGACTGGTGATGCTCACATTTAATGACTGACGATGTGCACTAGTAAATTCTGCACACTCATGATATTTAAAATAGAAAGAAAGTGTTACTGAATTGTAAATACTGCCCCCACAGTATAGTGATTTACATTTTCTTTGCACTCTTGCATGTTCATGACACAAAGGAAAAGACAAGCAATCCCATATGAGTGCAAAATGTTAAACAGACTTCAGGTTTTACACACAGTGAAACTTAATAGGACCTATAACTAGGAGTATACCAGAGCACCGACTAATTTTGTTGGTATCTTGCAGCAGTGATATAGGCCTAGAATTGAGATCACTATCGGAAAACTTTTGTTAGCATCCCATCCCTACCATTTTTTATTTATTATTAAACACACTGGCCATCTCCCACCAAGAAGGGTAGCCTGAAAAAAAGAAAAACTTTCACCATCATTCACTCACCACCGTCTTCCAGAAGGCACGCTTACACATACAGTTATAAAACTGCAACATTAACACCCCTCCATCCCTCTATAACCCCTATAAACAAAGGTGAAAAAAAAAAAACAGCTACTAATCATTCAAAAATAAATACTATTTATTTACACCAATATTATTCCCTAACATATAAGGTGTATGCACTAAATAAAAGCAGTTTTTGTATCTGAAAGAGCTCTATAATACACTCAACTGATGGCTGGTAATGTCTTATGACTGGCAATTTATAGGCAATCAGCTTTTAAAACTGATAAGAAAAACTCATAACCTTTACCCAAATAAATCTCCCCTTCCTCCCAAGAAAAATTAGAAACCTGGAGCAAACCAAGAAACTCAGCAAAGACAACAACATAAGGTTCCAGATCTAAACATAACAAATTACATGACACACTTATATCACTCTATGCATAAATGTGTTTAATATCCCTCAAGTCACCTCCTCCATTTCCTTTTTTCAAAGGCCTAACAAAAATCAGTAAAACCATCCATCTCTTTCTATACAAGAGAATGAGTTTAAATGTGTGTCGGACTATAATAAAAAATCCAATTGTTTTAGAAATAGTATAAAGCCCCCAGTAACAAATCCCAATCCAGTAAATTTAATACAGCAAAACCTCGATATCCTGCATGACTGGACCAAGCAACTGCAAGACTGTAAAACTTTAAATCAGCTTTTAGAAATCTAAAGTATGCAGGAGGACCTGAAATGTATAGCTAACACAGACTATCTTAGCAAATTCCATTTAATTCTTCATACATATTGATTGTATTTAGCAAAAGCTTCATATTAAAAAGTGGAAAAAAATGTGTAAATCACATATACCAACAAAGTCTATGTATAACTGTACTGTAAATCTTCACCACCACACATAGCACATACATAATATCTTTTTAGGTGCTATCGTGTGCAATACATTAATGATGTCAGGGCCCATCACATAGACTCTATATTTAGAGAACAGCTCCTTCAGATAAGGATGTGAACAGTAAATTTTGACCTAAAATATGAGAGGATGGGTCTTTGTGGTGAGTGTGCACAGTATGAAAAAAATTCCTGCCCCATATGGTGCAGATGGGAAAAGCAAAACTCTTGACCCTGTATTTAGTTTAAAAATAGCAAAAAATTGAGTTTTTTTTTTTTTTAAAGGAATGGTTTCAATGGCTGTTTCTTGGTATCATCTAACCTTTGCTGTTCAGGCCTCCCTCTCTGAAACTGTCATTCTATGTCGCCAAATATTCGAAAAAAAATATTATTTTTTCTTATGAAAATGTTAGGGAATATTTTTAGTAGTGTTTTTAAGCCTAAAAAATTTTTTTGCCATCAGTACTTACGAGATATAGAGCGCAAGTACGGCAACAGCGGCGACCACGACGCCCACCCGGTATTCTTTTATTTACTCTAATCAAGCGTTTCTTGCATTTTTCAATTATTTTTCTGTGTCCAGGTAACTTATGTGGCTGTTGAGACCAATGTAAAGGTGCATTCTTCAAATATACACTCATTGTTTACAACACAATAAAAGAACAAACTTTTTCACTATTAGTTTTGTGTATACACATTGTTTACACAAACAAACCAATACAAAAAACAATGTTTATTACTATTGTTCCATAATATACATATGTACAGTCACTGAACACGTTCCTAGAACTGCTGCAGTTGTGCGAACTCTTTGAAACATGGGTATATGCAAGAAGGGGCACTTCACATCCTCACACATAAAACGAGTGTTAGCTGGTCGTTTGTGGTATAATACATACTTATACACCCTTCTGAGCATTTTTCTTGGCAGTAGTAGGGAGGCGTTCTATGGGGAAGTGATCACCCAGGCCTCAAACGAGATGACGGTTCTGTGGGCGCTGGTTATTGCAGGAGTTGCTCCTTGGTACTTTTGCAAATTATTTTGTATTGATTACTGACAGGCAAAATTCCACCATCTTTTGGTGTTTTGTTGGTCTTCAACTTGTATATGTTATAAGCATTTAGCATAGAGATATCAACAGATGGAAAAAAAAGTTTTATATTACCACTTATAACCTTTGCGTACCACAGTCTCAACCCAAATTGCATGCACATTTGTCACTAAGGGCAAATTGAGGTTGTAGTCCTGACAGCTGCAGGCTTTAGAATGGGTTCATTGGTCTCTGTTGTCCATGCCCACAGGGTTACCATTTCGTTTCTGTGAAACTGATGTCAACATGTGACATCACGTTTGTCATGCACCGAAATGCCATGATGTATTGGCAGCAAAGGGCTTGCACCTTCCAACCCTCTGGCGAGTGCCAGCGTTGAACCTTGGATATGTTTACGATTACCACGCACTGCTGCCACACCACGGTCAGTCAATTCACTCGCAAGAAATCACTGAGTAAGGGGCTGTGTACCAGTTATCAGTAAATAAAACATATGCCCCTACCATGATATGGTTCACCATCATTGTTCGAACCACATCACCTGAGATACCCATTAACTTCATGGTATCTCTCCAAAGTATATTACTGCCAGTGTACACAACGATATCCAAAAACTAGGACCACTTCTGCAATCACACGTACAAATAGCTTATACCAAAGCGTTTCCTCTTGCTTGG